AGCTAATTATTTTCTCCTCGGGAGTCGCGAGCCGAGCAGCCGAGCTGGCTTTTCTTAACCTATTTCGTCGTTGGCGTGAGGAATTCGGAGTGTTTCTTCTTTCAGGCGTTTCCTCGCCTCGCCTTTTTTTGCTCTAATGGCGGTGACTAAGGAAGCCGAGCTCTCCCCTCAGGGACCTCCGCGGAGCCAGTAAGTCCTTATTCGGCTTTTTTTTTTAATTGAATGTTGGATCTAAAAAAAAATGTTCTGCTTTGGACGGGCGGCGGCACGAAGGCTAAATTCACACAGTTAACCCTGATTTAACCGCGCTGATCCTTCCCCTCCTGAGATATTAACGCTACACCTAAAGGCCTGAGGGAGGAGGTATCGGGTGTCCACCTCACTCCAAGAAACTGCAGGGCGCCCATTTCTCAGCATTAAGATGATCGTGTCGAAGTACTGAAGAGAGGAGAGTTTGCTCACCCTTAGTTATTGCCTGTTGTTGTTTATGGCGGTGTGTGTGTGTGTGAGGTAAGCTTGCCCTGGGTTCCCCTTTGAGCAGCCTTGTCTGCAAAAATCGGCCGAAGCTGCTCGAAGTGTGTAGAAATCCGTATTGGGTCTCCCTTCGTTAAAATCTGCTCGCAAAGTCCACCCTTTCCGCGTTGCCCTTGATTTGTTTTGTAAAATCTTTCTCTACTCACCATTGGCCGTAAAATTCAATTCGGTTCTGAAAATTTTATTCTGAAATCCTGTATCAAAGCTGTTTTCGGAAAAATAAGCGCAGATTGCTTTTGGTTTGTACAGAAATTGTATACCCGATTTCTGCTGCTACCAGGTTTTAATGGGCAAATTACAGATTTTTTAAAAAAATTTGTGATTAAACAAAAAGACTTAATTTCTTCCTATCTTTCCTTTGTTGTAGTCCTGTCATTATTTGGCTATAAACTTGAAGTTGGATTGAGTTTGTAACAGTGCAGTCTACTCCTTGTTTTTTAAACTCCTTCTGGTCTTGGGTCTTTTTTCCCCTAATGCGTTTGTTTAAAATCATAGCCAAAGGCATTGAGGATATTTACAATAACCAAAGATAGAGTAAGTATTGCTAAACTGTGGGCAAGAGAGAGGGAGAAATGGTTAAATTCTAACGACCCAGCACTCTAAGCTGCACCTTAGCACAGGGAAATTAAGAGCCACCTAGCTGGCCAAAAGTTTAATATATGAAATGTACTGATTGGGATTGCATCTCTCTCCTGGCTGCTTTGTGGTTCAGTGTTGTGCAGACTGATTAACATGGCTTGGTATACTGTGCGAATTTTGGTATCCTTTTAATTTAATAAATTAATTAAAATGAATATTGCTGGTGGATGACAGATGAATTGGCTGAACATAATTGATTTCCCCCCATGTACTGTTTACTATAGTACCTCAAGATGTGCTTGAATATGTGTTATTTTACAGGGCATTTCATTGCAAACTACAGTACTTATGAAATAAACCTCAGTATTCTGTCACTAGGAAAAATACTGATGTTTTTGCATCAGGAAAAGCTGATCTAGTTATAAATTTGATTGTGAATCTTAAAACTCTTTTACAGGAGTCCTCACCAAATCAATGGAAGTTGCAAGAGGAAAGAGATTTCTGTGGCACTTAATGGTAATTTCTTTTCAACAATGAATTGGTTTATGTTTAGTTAATGTTTTATAGCTAGGATATTTATAGTTGTCTGAAATTCTGAGATAGAGGAAAAGAGCAGGGTACAATCTTTCTAAATATGCATCAGATTTATTAAAAATGATGAAAGTGAAAATAAGGAAAACAGATTTATAGAAGGAAAGACTTGTTTATAGTTGTGTTTATAGTAGGATAGATTCCATAGCAATGATGTGTGTTCCTAAAAAACTAAAATGGCAGTTACGTAACAGCTGCATTTTGACTATGCAGATAGACTCTTAATCTACTGAAACAGGTGTCTGAGTAAATTGCTTAGGCTTGTCTCCTAAATACTTGATTATTGCTAGGATTTGAATAAAGTTGGAAAATAGTTCTAGTGATGTTTATAAAATGGAATATGAAATAAGGCAGTTCAGAAAGACCATAAGTAATAGAAGAAATGTAAGTTTACGTTGTTGAGGTTTTCTAAAATATGTTTTTTTTTTCAATCCAAAGTATTTGGGACTGGACAGCAGACTGCAGAAGGGGCATGTTCTAAAATTTCTGAAAAGCAGAAAGTGAGCAAGACAACAGATGAGATGATAGGCTTCATGGATGATTTGACTCTGAGCTCACCTAAAGGGAGATCTCTGTCATGTTCAAGGAGCAGCTGTAGCAAGCGATCCTCCTCAGTATCATCTAATGATTCACCTTACAGTTCAAGTATTTCATCTTCCTCCACAAGCTGGAGTAGATCAAGGAGCAGATCAAGATCACATGCAAAAAGGATTTGTTCTCGGAGATCCAGAGGAGTATTCAGAGGATACTCAAGATCTTATTCCAGGAGTCATTCAAGATCACACGATTACAGATACCGGGAAGGATCCCATTTTAGATATTATAGAAGACATCCTAGCTCACATCCAATATATCAATCACGGAGTAGATCTCCTGTTAGATCATACTATCACAGGTGTTACTCCAGAAGTAACTCAAGAAGCTGAGGATACTATGGGTTTGGAAGAACAGTATGTCCTGAAGTTTATAGAAGGTGGAGAAACTGCTCTCGAACAAGACCTCTTCACTTGACAGAAAAAGGTATTCCGGGGGAAAAATATTGGGTTGTCAAAGTATTCCAAAATTCTTTGGAAAATTCTTTGTCCAGATATGAAAATGGCAATGTTTGAAGCGTCTTACAGTGTATCTTACAAATAATGGCAAATCTTGGAAAAAAATAAATACATCGGATGCCTTGTAATTGAGTGAATGATGTTAGATATCTGCCTTCAAATTACAGTGCAATTGTTGAATTATTGGCTGGTTTTGAAAGTCATTGCATTGAGTTTCTTAAAGAAATAATAGAACACTAAATTAAAGCTGATGAGGGAATGGTGGTGCCTTTTGGTAAGTATGGGGGCAGGGGTAAAACTGATCTCTGAGAAATTTGTGTTTTTTAAACAAATTCTTTCTATAGAAAAGAGAAACCCTAACCCTAATGCAGCTAAAACCTTTGGGGGAAAAATTGTCCCACCAGCCAGTTTAAAAATTGACACCAAAACCAATGAAAATGGAAATCCAAAAGAGAACTTAGATTTTAAGGTAAACATAAAATATATTTTCAAATAATGAAAGCTTTGTAAGAGTCCCTTGAAAAAATCTTGCATTATTTCATAGTTGGAAAATAAGCTTTTTGAAAACTGAGTTGTGGAATTTGTTAACAAATTTTGGTTACCAAATCTTTACTATGTAATCTTGAAATCACCCAACTTCTGATTTTTTAAAAAATAATCCTATTAATAAAAGTAAATATTTTTTAATCCTTCCATTTTTTCTTGTTAACCCAGTCAAACTATATCAAATGGATTTTAAACTTTAAACAAAATATATATTTAAACTGTCATGGAACAATTTTTTTTCCAGAAATCCATTATCCAAACACAACACATTTTACATACTTTATTTCTGTCTTATAGAAATCAGACTTACAAAGAGATTATGGCTTAATAAGAAGCTGATGGAACATAAAAAGATTCAGGTCTATACAGTCTGTGTCTTGAGCACACTCTTGTACTGCAGCGAGTCTTGGACCCTTTATGCATGGCAGCAGGGGTGGGATAGGACAGGGTTAACTACTGGTTCGGGATATACCATGCACGCCTGTAAATCATCATTAAATCATCATTAGCACGCTGAGTGCAAAGAAGCAGCCTTTGAAACACCCCTCTTGTTTTTTTAACTACAGCTGTGCCTTTTTCAGCAGCTGAAGTTGAAAAATCAGGAAATAAAGATCAGGTTAGAGGCCGGGTGGGCAAAAACATCAGCAGACATAGAACTGGTTCTATGTCTGCTGCTCTTCAGAGCTACCAGTTCTACAGAGGTGGACAGAACCGGTAGAAACCCATCTCTGCATGGCAGTAGAGAAAGTTGAACACCTTTCATATGCACTGTCTCCAATGTATTCTTGGCATCACCTGGCATGACAAAGTTCCAAATAGCGCAGTCTTGGAACGTGCTAGAATTTCTAGCATGTATATACTATTGAAACAGTGACATCTATGCTGGCTTGGGCATGTTGTGAGGATGGCTGATGGTTGGATTCTGAAAGATCTGTATGGAGAATTAGTGCAGGGAAAGCACCCTAGAGGGAGACCACAGCTGCGATATAAGGACATACGCCAGAAGGATCTAAAGGCCTTGGGAATGGACATCAACAGCTGGGAAACCTTGACCTCTGATAGTTCAGCTTGGAGGCTAAAGACACAGCATGGCCTTCTTCAATTCGAAGAGACGCTAGTTCTGCATGCTGAAGCAAAGAGGCAGTCCCAGAACCAGCTAAATCTGAGGGCTAGACAGGAGACAGACTATCTGTCCTCAGTGTGGAAGGGATTGCCACTCGAATTGGCCTTTTTAGCCACACTAGATGCTGTTTTAGGACCTCTTTTCAGAGCACGATATCATAGTCTCTTGAGACTGAAGATGCCAATTCAAATTCAAAATAGAAATCATGAATATGGTCTGCAGTTCTGATGAAGAAAATCTGTTGGTAATTGATTATTGTTCTGGCTCATGGGGAGGAGTTGGAAAACATTTATATAAAATTGAACAAATTAAGAATAAAAACTGATATTAGCTGGTATTAAAATATTCTACACGTTCTATTCCCATGTATTAAAAGACAAACTAACTGCCTATTTGAAAATATTTCCTCAATTCTTTAATAAGAAATAACAAAATGTAATTCTTAATGAAGAATTAATGGCAACCTTTCCATTAATCCATTTTGCAAAGAAACTAAAATTTATGAATGGGTATTAATCTTGAGCTAAATGTACTGAAAATAGCAAAGACTTGTCTACACTTGCTTCTTAATACCAATAATCTATCGGAAGCCTGATAGAAGTATTTTCAGATTAGCAATTGTAGTGTTTGTGTGTTAATCAAGAGACTAGACCACACCATTTGTTGAATTATTTAGGTGGCAGTAACTTAAAATGTAAATCTTCTTTCTAACAGACAAACAGAAGAGAAAAAAGGAATTGAGATGACATCTGTGATGAGGGGCATTACTCTTAGTCCTAACGTAAGTTCAGTTGTCTGAAAGCAAGAAACTGATTAGCGATTTTAGTGTAGGATTATTTTGCAATCTTATACAGCCCAATTAAATTTTGGCAGAGTTGTTCCCAAGTTATCATGCAGGGAATTGTCATATTCCAACCACTTGTCTGGGATGGAATAAGGTCTCCTGCTTGAGCAGGGATTTAGACTAGAAGCCCTCCAAGGTACCTCCCAACTCCTTATTTTGTTGTTATCCTGTCACCTTTAATTCAAAACCATGCAAAGTATATTCCTAGTATAGGAGAAACTTAATTTCTTCATGGCTATTATGAATATTAAGAAAAGCAAAGTACTTAAGTTCATATGGAATTGATTTGTGAGTTTGCATTTTATTTTGTTCATGTAATTTCTGTGAAACTTAGTACTTTTGTACATCCTTAGGAAGAATTGTAGTTTTAGGATACTGTAGGAATATCCCTAAATATCCTAACAATCCAATATTTTATTATGCTACGTGTAAGAATAAACACATTTGCTTGAATAATGATTGACTTATGACAGTGACAAATGCTGACTTACTCTAATTTTCTATTTTTTAGAATATAATGCCAAGGCCACTGACCCTGAAATCAGCAAGTCTGCTTTGTAAAAACCCGGTAGTATCCCCAACAAGAGAAGAGAAAAAGGGCTCTGTTGGCCAGTGGATTCCTGTTAAGAATGAAGAAAATAGAGTTTCATAATTTTTTTACCTGAAAGTACAACTTTCAGAGCATGCTAGTAGTTCTGTTCTGGTTAATAGCATCTGAAATCCAAAATATCTCATATTTGAGATTTAAATGTAGGTTACCTCATTTGAAACTAGAATTTGTTTTGCAGATAGAAAATGGAATATACAGACCAAGTGAATGCAGGTAGGATTTTTTTCTGTAAATTTTGCTTTTTGACTGAAATAGATTATGTCACAAACAGGAATATCTTACTGATAGATTTTAGTGTGTAATATATGTAACATAACAAATGAAGGTTTCTTCATTTTATAATTTTCATTTTATACTTTTTGTTAAGCACTTTTAAACTGTTATGTATGGCTCCTGTTGGTAATTCATTTTACCTATGTAGTTAATGTTTTGCTTTAACAATTGTACTTACTTATTGCAGTAAGTACAAAGACAACAAAAGATACATTAGTGAGGTTCTAGTATTTTCATATTAATCCTTGCCTGTTATCAACACTCCATAAATTACTCTCCTTGCAACAATTGTAAGAAAAATTTCTAAAGTTCTTATTTAGCTGTGAATAAGCTTGACACAAACATTTAAAGAAGTCATGCTTCAAGCAGAAAGGGCTGGGCAGGGCAAATTTAGGTAATATGCTGTTGATTGTTTTTTACTTAATTTCATAGCTTGTGTAAATATTGTACTATAGCCAAATGTTTTGAACTGTATGACATTACAATGGTATTCAAGAAAAAAATGGCATTCAAAATTAGTGAAGGATGAATTTGTATAAGCTGCATATTTTCTGCAATTTTCATAAAAATCTGTAATAAAGAATTTCAAATAAACTGAATATTCTGTGGAAATGTACTGTTTTTATTCAAAGGAACAAAGACATGCAAAAATAGCTATTTTAGCAAATTACATATTTGATTAGATTCTTTTGTCTGAAATATAAAAGATCCAAGTGGTATATGAGTAGAGATGGATTACCCATAAACTATTGGTGAGCCTCCTGGAATGTTTGCCATCCATTGAACCAGACTGGTTTGGAATTATCCTGTCTGCTTTTGTGTTAAGGGGTACAATGGATACTTTAGAGCAGAAGTATAATGTATTAGAAGTACCACTTGAAACTTCCAAATCGGTCCACAGAGAGTTTAAAAGGAGCAAAATGAATGTTAACAATTTTTGGAGTCGCTGGGTACCTGTTTATCCTTGCAAGTACCCAAATAAGGCATATCTACAAATTTAGTTTCATCTGCTTAAATGATATTGCCAACTGCAAGATGGTGCTGGAAGAAAGTATGTAGAAATGTTTCTTCTTTGCTAGAAGATTAAAATGAAAATAGCTTTGTCCTGTGTACAGTTGCCCTTCATCAGTAAATAAAGGATCCAAGTTATTGTCTGGAGATAAACTTGCAACCTTTGTAATAAAGAATTGCAATACTAAATTAGAAATGCTCTTGAATGGGTTATAAATCAGAACTCATTTTATTGGAGATATTGGATATTTAACTATATTCCCAAATGCTGAGAAAGGAAAC